ATACCATGTCCATAGCTCATGACATTTATGATTGGCACAAAGCCAGCCTGTCATTCTTTCAACATGATGACAGGCATGGCTTTGAATTATTGGGTAAGCAATATACTATTCCATGAGCTAATTGTTTAATTAGTAGTATTCCTGCCTGGCATCATTTAAGACATGTCCATCCACTTTATATAATTTTAACAATTGTTTCAACTTTGAGCTCTTACATACAGATCTATAAAGTATTAAAAAATGACATCATAGGTAATCAATTCTAGAGCAAAATTTTCTCTGGTTACAAAAAAAAAAAAAAAAAAAAAAAAAAAAAAAAAAAAAAATCAACAGCTGCTATACTCACTGACATTTTACTGTTTGATTTAATGCTGACCCTTCCATAAACCACACTCATGTATACAAGTTTCTGCCCAGAAAAAACTGTCAAGCACTGATTGAATGTGTGGAGTCTCCCTCCCATAAAAATGGTTTCAGGTGTTATAAAGCAGTTAAGATGTGTTAATGTAAGTAAAGTTCACTTATCCCTGTTTGCATTAAAGGAAAATGGATGAATCTAAAATAAGCAATTCTTTTAAGTTATTGAGATTAAAATTCTACTTAACCAATAGTAGGTAGAGAAACAATTGATTATAGAAAAGTATCTATTGCATATTCAGATTCAGTAGTACAGTGTAGGAATAAAATGAGTAAAAGCTTTTAAAAATTACAATAACCGGTTAACAAAATGTGCTACTAAGTAAACCTTTATATTTTACCACATTCACATCTAGCAGTATTTTTTTTAATCATTTTTGTACATTTTATTGTTCCCTAAAAAGGCCTATTCTTCAAAGCTTATGAGTCTTCGTCCTCAATCTTGGGGGCCAAGAAGTAACGGATGTGGCCAATCTCACCAATAGCATATTCAACGACCAGGGGTACATCAGGGGACATAGAAAGTGAAACTGAAAAGAAGGATAAATTAATATCAGACAGCTCTGTTCTTTACAAAACAATTTTCTAACAAATACAACACTAAATATATAAATAGATGAAGAAGGAAGACATACCTGTGGGGAAAGGGGTTTGCTTTTGTGAACATGTTCAGGTATCTGCAAGCAAAGGTGAGCGTGACAGCTCCTGCATCTCAATAACGACTGCCTCCTCCTCTTTGTCTACACTGGAGGTCTGTGCCAGCTATAATAAAAGAGGGATTTATGTATTAATCTTCCTGATCATCTAAAAATGTAACATGTGCACCACACAAAAAAAACTTTTCTTTCAAACAAGTTGCCAAGCTACTTCTATAATAATTTTGGTAATAGGATAAACAGAGGATTTGGAGAGAGAGAGAGAGAGAGAGAGAGAGAGAGAGAGAGAGAGAGAGAGAGAGAGAGAGAGAGAGAGAGAGAGAGAGAGAGAGAGAGAGAGAGAAAATCTAATCCTATGAAATATGGTTTCAAAAATTAACTTTTTTCTGTAACCTTTTAAAAAATAACTTCGAAATGATTACCTTGATGTTTGCAGTACCAATATCTCCTGCTGCAGAGAATTTGACTCCTTCCTTTGTGCAGGCAATGACAATGCTCTCTCCAAACTGACTAAGATCTCTGCAGATACGTGCGAACTCCCCAGAAGGCAATTTGATAACACACGCATAATCTGTTTCCTAGAAAGAGAAGGTGACCAATTAGTATGAACTTGAGTATACCAATTCTAATAAAGTTTTAAAAAGACAATTAAAATGAAAGTCCTCAATAATCCAGACAAGAATTTACACCTTATATCAAAGCCACTTGTTGAACCATCTTATAATCAAGAATAAAACAACCCTGTTACTTACTGGAATGCCAAGATGTTCCTGATCAAGGTTCATCAGCTTCATTTCATAGTCGGAGACCTTTTCCTGGTTGGGCGATTCGAACATGAATGTGACGGTGTCTGCGTTATCCTGGGCCTTCATTGTGATGATGTCATCGTTAGCTGCACACTTGAGGATTTTGGACATGCTGAAACCAATCGCAAATTAGTTGGTCGACTTCAAAACATACACTTGGCAGTCTCATTGGGTTTACATTTTAAAAATCCAAACAACTTTTGCTAAGATAAATCATGAACATTGATTAGCCTATTAGGGAAATGATAGCTGAACTTTTACTTCTGTTTAATTGCCATAATTTTCTTTGAGCATAAATTTTTAAGAACAAGTTATTTACATACAATGAACAAGGTAGCTAGTAGATGTACTCAACTGATTGAGTAATTAAGTTTTTGCATACAGGAAAAATATAATTCTAGCTGTACTTCATACATTAACTTAAACAACTATGGTCATCCTATATTTTAATTTTGCCTCTTATAAACATTCAGAAATGCAATGGCTACATCAAACAAAACTATCAAGTTTGAAAAAATATCTTGTTTTAACATGAAGTAGATAACCATCCAATTCTTATCTTATCAAAGATGTGTGGTAGTCTATTGGTCTTTACCTGAACAATTACAGCTGACTTACATGCTAAAGGAAAATACAGAATTAAATTATTTCCATTCCATCTATTTAATGTATGTGGTACATTTGATTTAATTTCCCCCCCTTGTAATATACATAGGAACTGCACCAAAATAAGGAAAGACCAGGATTTGGCAGCCCACTCACCCCTCTGGTTCTTACGGTGGGGTTTATGGATTCCCTGGAGTGACCCCATTGTTCCTGGCTAAAATGCAAGTGGCATGGATACTTCTAAACAATTACAAAGTATCAATTGCATTCAACCATCTAATTGTAAATTTTCTATTACTTTCTCCTATGCCTAAACTCCATGACTATCTAGGCCTATCAGCCTTTGGTACAACTGCAATGCCTGACACACCTTGCCACCTTGTATTCTGGCAGGATAGAGCTCAGACTGATAGAGTGGACTTTCCACAATCTTTCTCTTTTATTTCAGGTATTACTATTCTTGTCTGCAAATTGAAGACAATTTGCTTGTAGAGGACAAACAATTACTGTTGTTGGTACATGAATCTGCAGACAAGAATGGTAATACCAAAAAATAAAGGAAAAAGGTTAGGAAAAGTGCTGTTTGTAGCTCAAGTCCACTCACTGCTCTCAACTTACAGTTCTGTCTTGTCAATGCATACCAAGGAGACGGCAATGTTACCCAGGGGGTGTAGGGGGACAGTCCCGTTGGGCAGTGCCAGAAGACCATACCCAGATTATTGAATGGAATTTGTGATGTGGAACTGGGAACTTAGTCTCTAGATGCAAATTAAAGAAGAAATCTTTGTGAAAGAAAATAATTGCAGTTGCAATAATAATCTGCAGACATGAATGGTAAAAAAATGAAGACAATATTGATGGAAGGTGCTTGGGAGTAGACCCTGGAGTTCTTTACAATACAGGGTTAATCTTTAAGGTATGGCCACATTACATTAGGACAGTCATGGCAACTTAGATTAATGGAGATGGGGACTTTGTCTCTGGTGAGTGCACTCATATGGTATAGAATTATTGGTATAAGGTACCGAGAGCAATGTGTGGAGAGGGGGAAATGGACACTGCCATCTTAGGGTGAAATAGAATAAGAAAAATAGTTTATGCAGCTGCAGCCTCATATTTCTGCAGATCATTTCTTGTATGGACTACCAAAACTCTTTGGGATTGAGATAGGGCTCGGCTGTAAATGTCTTACTTATAAGGGTAGTGGAGGTGAGACAAATCCATCAATGCCAATACTGTGTTCAGTAATTAGGTGGCTATTCTGAATATTTACATCGCAAAGATGAACCTAGATCCAGAAGGGCAACAACTGTTATGGCATCTTAAACTGTTAAACCTTTGTTTCTCTCAATCTGTACAATGCCCTTTCAAAGACGTACCTGTAAAAAGAATGCGATACCTCATTATGTAACAATTCACCGAGATACAAATTATGCATGACTTTCTGCACACATTGGATACCTGAAGCCTTTACCCCTCGTCATCTTGACATGGGTTACAGAACCTCTCGCTACCCATTCATCAGGACATTTACTTGGTGCATTGTTTTTTTTTTTTTAATAGTCTCAATAATAGTTTCTAGTTTCCAAATATAGAGAAATTATTACACAACCCCCCACCCCCATTAGTGTCAATCTTGGCTCCAACAGCAGGGGAAGCAGGGGAGGCACCAGGGACATTGGGGACAGAAGAGGAATCAAACGCAGAATCAGTCGCCGTTTGATGCAAGGGCTGTTCCCTCCCGTGACCCCCCACCCCCACCATCACCCACGGAAACAAAGAACCCTCCTCGTATTCACGGCTGGAGAGAGCGAACGACAAACACGCGCCATTGGTGCTTCCGCATGTTGGTCGCTCGCTCTCTCCAGCCGTGAATACAAGGAGGGATTCTTCGTTTTCGTTCGTGGAGGTTTAGGAGTCGAGGAAGGAAACATCCCCTGCATCAAACGGCAACTGATTCTGCATTTCATTCCTCTTCTGCCCCCAACGTCCCTGGTGCCTTCCCTGCTTCCCCTGCTGTTGGAGCCAAGATTGTCACTAATTGGGTGGGGAGGGAGGGAGGAGAGAGAGAGAGAGAGAGAGAGAGAGAGAGAGAGAGAGAGAGAGAGAGAGAGAGAGAGAGAGAGAGAGAGAGAGAGAGAGAGAGAGGGAGAGGAGAGGGAGAGGGAGAGGAGAGAGAGAGAGAGGAGAGAGAGAGAGAAGGGGGGGGGTCATGCAATATTTTTCTACATATTCGGAAACCAGAGGATGAGAGGATCCAACAGTAAAATTATCATCATGATCTGATTATTGGAACTATTAAAAATAAATAAGTAAATAAAATAATAAACAAATAAGTAAATAAAATAATAAATAAATAAAATACTGCTCAAAGTAAATGTCACAAAGAATGGGTGCGAGAGGCCACTAATGGGGTGAAAAGGGGGGGGGGTCATGCAATTAATACTATATATTCGGAAACCAGGGACGCGAGGGATCCAACGGTGACAAAATCCTCCGTGATCTGTCTGGCGGA